TAGGGAGCGAATGCTGAATTCATCGACTACATCTTTGACAGTGACACCGCTCCAGCCAAACACCACGTATTTCTTCCGTTTGGTTGCAGAAAATGAAGCCGGCATGGGCAAGTCCACTGCGCACGTCCTCATCACAACAACTCAGGAAAAGGTTATTTTCTGAGGATTTTAGTGTTTAATTTTTCAGCTGGAATAGTTAGATGATGGAAACCGGTTTTGATTGTTCTTCGAATCCGAAATTTCCGTACATCGGTTGCCTTTGTTGATTTGCGCATTTGCAATTAAGACGTGTTTGAATGATATGAAATAAAATGCGAAGCGGAAAAAAAGTGCTTCAGGGAATATACATGAAATGAATTCTAAAACTACCATTTTTTGACTCCGGGTTTTTTTTTTTATGATGATTAAAAATATGCGAATCGAAATATGCAGTCATTCGATGTCATATCACCCTACCCGCATTTACCTCAGAATCGAAATGCGTTAACTTTTGGTCTCATTAGAATTGTTATAGTTCTTTGAAATCTTTTACAGAGGCCTTAATTTATTACAGGCAGTTCCTGGTAAAGTTAAAAATTTGCATGCCAGTGCACTGAGTCCCGAGACAATTGAAGTATCCTGGGAACCGCCAAGCGGTGTTGGCCCTGCGCCAGTGCAGTACAAATTATTTTATATCAGGAAAGACCATGAGCCCGGTGAAAAGGAAACACAGATCGTGGTATGTTTCGTGCCATTGCTTCATTTAATAGTGCAAGCGTATTTTATCTGGGTGTTGTTTTCGCAATTTCTCTTTGTTAATTGATACAACCAGCTCACCGTGGTCCAAACCGAATACTTACCCACATGCACTGTTCGGTTTGTGTACACAGTTAAGGGATGAAACGCACAGACTGCGTTATAAAATGTCTTCATACACATGACATTCAAGTGAAATCCTTCTATTCTTCTATTTCAAAAAAAAAAAAACTGATTGTAATTCAATTTTTTTATAAAATTTAGTCATCAGATCATCATTTTTTGTTCAGCAGGTAATTTGTAAGTTCTCTTCTGTTTCTGGTGCAGCATTAGGTTGAAAAAGAAGTGATGTGAAGTTAAGGTTTGATATTTTGTTAAGTATTCTTTGGTTAGAACCTGTTTTTTTGTTGAAGATGAAGAAAACATCATACACTCTGCATGGCATGGATAAATATGTTGAATACAGCATCAGAGTTGAAGCGGAAGGTGTTAACGGTGCTGGTCTGAGCTCCGAACCAGTAACTGTGAGGACGTTGTCTGATTTGCCTTCTGAAGCTCCAAGTGACGTGCGGTAAGTTTGTTTGGAATGCTCATAAGCAGAGCTGGGCGCGAGTTCTTTGCTTCCCCTTCCCCCCTCCACTTCCCTCCCCGGCGGCACAGACACTGTTGCTGTAAAAGCCCCGACCTAAAGCAAAAACTAAAGCCTAAAGCAACTTTAAAGTAACTCTAAGTAGCAGCACTGTTCCATAGTCTTTGCATTGTTCCAGGGTGGAAAGAGACTCTACTTCCCACCGCCCAGTCGCCCCTTCCCTTTCCAGGAGTCCCTTTTAGATCCATCTACGTGAATGTTAGATCAGTGCGGTACTTTCATGCCACATCTTTTATTTTACTGCTATTTGAGGTTTTTTTGTTTCCCTGAAAAACAACAAATCTATTTTCGGATGCTTTCCTTGTGTTATGACATATAAAATTGCAGAGCTGAAGCAGTTTCATCTACCTCTATCTATGTGCAGTGGACACCGCTACCGCCGGAGGAGAGCAACGGCATTTTGACAGGATACCGAATAAAGTATAAGACAAAGTTGCGTGGTGCCAAAGGCAATACTTTGGTGGTTGATGGTAATGACAATTCATATACAATAACAGGTCTCGAGCCTGGCACTCAGTACATGCTGCGTGTTTCTGCTGTTAACCAGGTTTGTTGCGAACAAACTTCTCGCTTTTCTTGATAAAGTAACTTGAAAACCTGTAGCCGCAGCATTGGTCAAAACATTGTGTCAGTTTTATATTTATTGATTTGTCTCTGCATTTTAGAACGGATCGGGTCCGAATTCGGAATGGGTGCATGTGGATACACGACTAGAAGACAAAGACGAAGGACAGGTTGCCGGG